CACAAGCCAATTTAAAAAATTCCAATCATCACCATATTAAGAGACCAGGTAAGCTTCTGACACTGGCTTCAACGGGAGTAGAGTATTTGGGGAGCTGTCATATTTTCTGTGTCATCTTTTGATTTTGATCACAATGGACTATCATTTGAGCTACTCTCACACTCTTATTTTTTTTTTTATGTTTATGATCCAATTAGATGGGTCCAGCAATTTGAACAATGCTCTCTCAAATGCAGTAATGGAAAGTGGGAAATGATGCACTTAGCCTCACGTCACTCACTGTGTTTACTGCGGCACTCACTGCTAATGAACTATGGCAAGTATGTTCACAAAAGACAATAATGGCGCAATTTATCCTCTAGCAAAGGGCCCATTGTGCTGGCAGCGTGAGCTCCTCATTCCGGAGAGGCTGTGTGGGGCTGGTGGTTAGATTCTCCCACCACTGTACTCTGTGGGCCCACCGGGAAACTCCATTCTCTGAAGTTCCGTGACATCACCTGTCCTGTCCTGGTTCTGTGTGTCCTGTCTCTCAAGTATTCAACCAGGCCTCTGTTCCTGAGACAACTGACATTATAGGTCATCCCATGTTCTGTGCCATTCACATGGGGTCAAGTTACAGTTCCAACATATTCAATTATTTAAGAAGCTAATTTCTTAGCCTATGAAAATGATGTTCAATGGCAAATAATCCTGGCAAAGAACATTTTGAGTTTTCTACCAATAAAGTAAATCTATATGAGCTCAAGGGTGGCCACTGTCCTTAGCAGTATGGGACAAGTTAAATGAAGGCAGCCTGAAGTGCTTCCATCAACTCACTGGAAGTGAACCACAGAAACTCAAACTCTGAAATAGAAATTTCTTTGCTTGTCTTCTAAATAATTCTAGAAGAGAATCCCTGAGGCTGTGTGGTGCCCTGTTTGAGGAACTCCGGGCTCAAAGACCATGGAGTCTGTGGATGAACAGAGGCAGGCCCTGCGCTAAGTGCCCGATGACCAGCCGCTCACTTCCGGAGCTCAGGACTTGGGGGACTCCCCACCCCGTCCCCAGCAGAGGCACCAGAGCAGCCCTCCCAGCCTGTTGCTGTCTTTATCTGCCCTTTTCCTTCCCTGGGAAGCACACGGTGGACCCGACCTCCCAGGCTGTCAGTTTTCCCAGCATTTGGCTGTGCTCCAGCCCCCCCCCCCCGTGAGTCCTCCCGGCAGTACAGGGTGACAGATCCCACCCCACGCTACGATGATCACCCCTCAACGGCCCCCCTCACACCCCGCCGGGTCCCTTCTCGGCCACCACCATCATCACCACGTGCAACCTGCAAAGGCAAAAGAGGCTCAGCAACCCTCACCGGGGACTTTATTTTCTTTTTTGCTGGTTTCAGGCTTTTTTCTGCCTGAGTGAAAATGAAACAAACACCACCCCCTCCCCAGCAGGCGACACACACGCCCTCGCCCTCGCGCGCTCCGGCGGCCGGCCTCCTAGCTGCC